TGGCCATGCCGGGCCTATTCATAAATAGTAAACAAAATGTCAGAGGAAAACAAGTTAGGCTTAGGCTGTCTTTTTTCACTATCTTTCATATTTGTTTACCAAGAATGAAAGAATATATAAATTCTTTAGACAACGGGCTACCTAATGCATTTTTTATACTTATAATATTCCGATCTAACATTTGTCATTAGACTTTGAATCGAGCTGTAGATCGGTACTAAAAAAAATCACTTTACAATTTCTGTTACATAATGTGTAGCTTTCCTTTATGTTCATATTTTTTTCTATTATTCTTGAAAACACAATACTGTAACAGTAATAAATATTTTACGTAGAAAACAAACCGTATTATTTTGTTAGACAGACTGCTTCGGGTTTCCTTTTTTTTTATCTACCATTTGATTCGTTTTACTTCCAGTGGTTATACGATGAGTTGAATTATATTCCCTATAAAAAGATTAAGGTTATAACTCAAAATAACAAGCTAGGTTTGTAAAGAAAACATGCTTACATTCTCAAGCGTTCTACTTTATTTACGTTTGGAGTAATATGACCTTGGGAATTGCGTTGCTTTAAAATAAAAAAGCGCAATAAATGTAAAACAAGCTACAAAATGGGAAAAAAATTAATCATCAGTTACTTACATCTTGCACTGGGTCTATTCGAATGTTCTTCGTGGGATGCGTGGTTGCCTAGTAACGCTTTTCTTTGTGGGTGTTTATCAAACATACCTCCGTTGGACTGCCCGTTAGTTTGCACAACTGCCACCTGGCGGTTAGGAGAAGAAGGAGTCTGAGGAAGTTTCCGCGGGAAAGCAGCCATTGGAAAAGCAACCAAGATGAGTGCTGCCCCCACCAGAAATACTCCTAACCACCAAGCCCCTACCCATTGAGGGTCATTCGAGGTCAGGTGAGTTGGATTTTCTGGTGTGGAGAAAATAAATCGTCTCTAGAAATGTAACTTAGATTTTCGGGTCTTTTTAATTCATGAAAAAACACTTCTCGTGAAAATATTACCTAACTACATGTTCATACATGTTACCTAAGATTTATTTTTTGGTACAAATGTTATAAAATAGAAGAAAAAAAAAGCACAACAAAAAACATATTTGACAGTTTCAACAACTTATGAAAAATGATAAATATTGTAAGTTGTCTCAAACTATTCTTTGTTACTAGAAAATAAACATTTGAGTAGTTTACAAGGGACACTTTATTTGCCTTGAGTGAAGCATATGATATGCTTTCAGAGTAACTAATTCTTTTCAAAATATCATTCGAATACTTGCTCTTTTTCAATTTACACTTCAACTCTTAAGAAATAGAATTTTGCCAGTTGATTATTGTTTCTTACACTATAGCCTGGCGAATCGTAACTTTCAACACATTATATGTTGAACTGTGGCTTACCGAATGGAAAATTCACGTATACGCTGGTACAGAAGGAACCGAGCAGGAAGCCAAACACTGGTCCAAATATTCGTACTCCGATCGTGATGGCTGCAATGTGAAACACAAAAAAAAGTTCTTATAAAGCTGCAAAAAAGAATATGAAAAACTTTAAGGTTAACTTAAAATATATTTGTCAGAAAATCGTATCATTTGCTCATAGGAGAAAAGTCTGTTTGCTGAAACCTTGAAGTTGGGTTATTTCGAAACCAATAAGATATTTATGTGTACTTACCTCTTTTCAAGATATTTTAAGAACAGTTAAAAATATAATTATGACATCTCAGATATGGACAAGACTCCAGTCATATTCATTTGTACCTCAACAGTAAGTTTCAGGGCTTATAACTCTAAGGTCCGAAGCTCGATTCTCCGCGGCGGACACATCATAAATATCCAACTGTGTGGCTTTGCGCTGAAGAACAAACAAATATTGAAATAGTCTAGTCATGGTATTGTTACGACAGCGGAAGTCACGTGACTCTGGTAACACGTAATGAGTTCTAGAAAGATCGGGGAACA